AGAGGCAGCCATAGCTGCCATAGCTGTAGTTAGTAGTGAGTGTGTGTGTGTGCTCGAGTGTTAGAGTGATGCGTGTGGGATATCCAGGGTGATCCMGTGTATGTGAACAGTGAGATGTTTGGGCGCTGAGGTCACCATAGCCAATTGGGAGTGAACTCGTATCTGGAAACCATATCTCTGAGTTTTGAGTGGGCGCATGTCGCCAGTATGCTGCGTTACTGTTTACATGTGTGAAAAGTGTGTTTGAAAACGAGTCTGATTGCAAAACCAAAAAAAGGCAAAAAAACACGAAAAGAAAAACAAACCCAAAAGCACTATAAATTTATAAAACCCTATTCGGAGTAGCTTTCGGAGTTCGCCAATTTCTTCCCAAATTCGGCGCTTTTGCCAACTTTTTCGTTACTGGTCCAGATTCGTCGAAACTGAATATATATATATAGCCAAACAGAGCTGCCCGGTATGTTGGGCCGTCGCCCGGCCAGGCACGCCCGGGCCAGTTGGGCAGAGGGGTGGTCTCCCGGCAAAACCAGACGGGTCAAAAAAGAGGCAAGGATCCAAAAAGAAAAAAAAAAGACTTTAGGCCAGGACTGCGCTTGGCCCAAGCAGTCAGAATCCGGTCTTAACTTCGGTTTTGGTGATGGGTCATCCAGGGGGGGTTGGGGGGGTATAAACAGTGACTAAAGGGCTTAAAAGGGTACATTTGGAGTCTTTTGGGACTCAGGTTTTCTCTTTTTTTTCTATCTTGAAATTAACAAGGAATTTCGAGGTGGCCCTCAGCCAAAAGTCGTTTGTATTGCAATTTTACACAACATTTTTTTTTTCGGATTTTTTTGAAAATTTTTTGTTTTCTATTTTTTAGAATATTATGCGCTGGGATCGTCCGTGACCCTGCCTGAGCCCTGCCCGGTCCGGGCCGCCCGGGGACTAACACAGAAAAAAAGGTAAAAATTCAGGGCAATATGGCAGTTTGGGTTTAAAATTCGCCAAAAACGGCACCGCCTATTTCTTAAAGAAAAAGGAGCCACAGAATTCTCGACGGTATGATGATACACAATGAACCTACCTCAGAATCAAGGCCAGAATCCTTGACGACTTGTCCACAATGAAGTCATTCCTGTTCGACAGTAGTCTGCAGCATTCCACACAAGACGGAAAAGAAAAAGAAATAGAAAAAAGCTTAGATAGTCAAATGTATATAATCAAACAGAATTTGTTGTCCTCCTCTTCTCCCTCTCTGCCTACGGTTTACCGGGCAGCTCTGTTTGACAATATATATATCGTCAAACAGAACATAATATATATGATCAGTCGATGAAACCCCGACGAAACAGTTTGTCACAGCCCCTCGTTTGTTGTCCTCTTCTCCCTCTCTGCCTACGGTTTACCAGGCAGCTCTGTTTGGGGATACATATATATGATATAATATATAAATATATAGTTATTCTTAGCATACTTTGAACAGGAATAAATGGCAAGACAATTCGAAGAAACTTTTTTGAGTTCTTCTGTTCCGAACCAGAGTCGGTAATTTCTTTTTTTAACTATAATTCCCATATTTACGATCTCTTTGAATGGGTCCCACATGTGTGTAAAGTTGCAAACATTCCAAACTACTTCTAAATAATGAACTAAAAGTTTCACAGAATCTTCATCAAAACCATCAGTACATAAGACTCCCTTTCGCCCTATTGAAATAATTGACCCATCATCTTACCACCAGATAATATATAACATATATAAATATATATATATTATATATATCGTCACATGAATATCAGAGCGCAAAAGCGAAAAAAACAAAAGGAAACAAAAAAGATGTCAATTCATTTTTAATCTTCTTCCTTGCAACTCCCCCTGTTCAGAACCTCTTGCGTACAAGGCCGCCCACGTGGATGTAGGTTGAGCGGCAGCTGCCCCCACACCCCCGTGTGTCATATCGACCCATTTGCTATACATCATCAAACAGATACATATATATCGTCAAATAGAACTGCCCGGTAAACCGTAGGCAGAGAGGGAGATATAATCAAACAGAGCTGCCCGGTAAAACATAGGGAGAGAGGGAGAAGAGGACAACAAATGAGGGGCTGTGACAAACTGTTTCGTCAGGGTTTCGCCAACGACAGGAGGCTATGTATAATTGACGATATATGTATGCTTAACCACAGCTGGGGTTAAGGTGGGATTATCACTTACAGTGTAATCAGTTAGGGGATTCTGCAGATTGTTGAGTGTTCAGCCTCTACTGATTGATGAGTCGGTGAAACTCCAACGAAACAGTTTGTCACAGCCCCTCGTTTATTGTGCTCTTCTCCGTCAACATATAATATTATATACAAAACACACATCTGCAGACCGCCATTATTTACCTCAGAGAGCCATCTACAAGGGCAGTCCGTTGGCTGCATGTCTTCGTTCCCTCCATCCTTCATCCTCTCCCCAAATAGGACACACCTGGGCAATCAGCATAATACCACTCTGTATCTGACCCACAAAAGGCTGTGCAATCCATTGCCGATGCTTGTGCAATGTCTTTCTTTCTAGAAACGGAAAGCAGTGGTGCGTACATGCATAGTATGTTTCTGGCTTTTCCGCCAACCAAGTCTGAACACGCCAGATGCAGCACGCTGCGCAGCTCCTCCTGTGTGTTGTCTTCATGTTCACTTTACACACCTCCTTTACATTTTTTCTTTTAAAAAGACCATGGCCCTGCAATAAATTTATGTTTTTGGTCCCCTGTATATGCCAGAGGAGTAGTGGTAGGTAGGAAGTGAAGGTCAATTGAAAGAAAAAATCAAAAGACGATGAAAGATTTGAGCGAAGAGTATTAATTAAAAAAATATATATATATATCGTCACAAACAGAACTGCCCGGTAAAACCGTAGGCAGAGAGAAAGAAGAGGACAACAAACGAGGGGCTGTGACAAACTGTTTCGTCGGAGTTTCACCGACTCATCAGGAGGCTGAATATATATATATATATATCGTCAAAAATATATATATATATATATAGGTAAAACCGTAGGCAGAGAGAAAGAAGAGGACAACAAACGAGGGGCTGTGACAAACTGTTTCGTCGGAGTTTCACCGACTCATCAGGAGGCTGAACCCTCAACAGTCTGCAGAATCCCCTCACTGATTACACTGTAAATGATAATCTACCTTAACCAAAATCAAAGTAGACTATCACTCACCCACACCAGATGGAAAACTCTACAGACTGTCGGTTCACACCCCATATATATATATATTTATATATATATTCTTAACAAAAAAAAAAGCAATACTGTGCCACACCGCTCCATCAGACTTTCGCCAACTCATCAGGAGGTTGAGCCCCAAAAACGTTTGTCGAGGATGCATTTGACTGACTGATGGGTAAGAACTCACCACGTCTAACTTCGAGTTACGTGGCCATACCTACTCTTTGAGGTTCAACCTCCAGTAAAAAAAAAGTTGGGGTTCAACTTCCAGTAAAAACAAAAATTGGGGTCCAGCCTCCAGTAACGGAAAAGTTGGGGTGCAACCGACTTCACTCACGATACTCACATCCTAACCCTGCTATCCTGGCAGACTGTCAGTCCAAGCCTCTGACAAGAATAGCAGTAATAATGTGTGTTTTTCAAAAAAAAACACAAACTCTCCCTCTCCCTCTCATACCACAGCAAATCATCACAGGCCCATAAAACACGAAAAAAAGGGGTATAGATTGTGTGTTGAGGGTGGGCAGGGGGAGGGTGGGCACAAAACACAGATGATGGGTATTCCGTGCATGAAATTGGGGTTCCAAGAGAGGGGTTTCCCTAGAGTGCACACCCCTCGAAAGGGGACATGGCCTGTGATATTCAAATAGTGCACACCCCTCAGGCCACACACATGTAACGCACAGGACTTTGAGAACATAGCATACTCATCGGAGTTATTCAAATAGTGCACACCCCTCAGAAACCGAATAGATCACACCCCTTGTAGCATTCGAAGGGCGTGCAACGCACAGGACTTTGAGGAGATAGCACACTCGTCGGAGTCGTTCAAATAGTGCACACCCCTCAGAAACCGAATAGAGCACACCCCTAGTAGCATTCGAACACAGCTCAGGGGTTCTTTACCTTGCCCCCACAGTAGACACCCCTGCATAGCCCGACACATGCCCAGGCCTCATTATTCAAATAGTGCACACCCCTCAGAAACCGAATAGAGCACACCCCTTGTAGCATTCGAACACAGCTCAGGGGTTCTTTAGCTTACCCCCACAGTAGAGCACACCCGCGCCCTTGTATTCGAATACTACCCAGAGGTGGCAAACCCCTTATAATTGTCAGAGCAGTTCAGGTGTCAGAGCACCTGTGAAACAACTGGGATAAAGGGCCTCAGTCCACTACACAACACTGTACATGCATTTGGACGCTTTCTCTGAACTGAGTGCATTAGGACGAGTCCCAACTTTTTGAACGAATCCGGTTCAGAACGCGTTTAAATGCATGTACAGTGTTGTGTAGTGAAGCGAGGCCCAAATTAACGTAGGACATAACACTCACCCACACTTGGCTGATAATAAAATTTAATATAATCTCTTATACCTTAAAGGAAAGACCGGTCCGTGCGTGACGCTCCCACTGGGCCCAGCAAAAATCGGGCAGGGAGTTCCGCGCGGGGTGCCACAGGGAACCAAGGACGGTGTGTCCGTTTGCGAGGGTGCCAGTTGGTGGGGGAAATTCGCGGGCCCGAGGGCCGTATTTGCGAAGTGGTGGCGGTAGGCGGGGTGCCACAGGGAACCGAGGAGGGCGTGTCGGTTTGCGGGGGTGCCAGTTGGTGGGGGAAATTTGCGGGCCCGAGGGCCGTATTTGTGACGACGGTGGTGGCGGTAGGCGACGACGAGGCGGGGGCGCGGCGACGTGTGCGGGTTAGTGCGAGTGTTGCCGATGAGCGCAGCGGCGGTGGCCTGGCGGGCATGTGGGCCGGTACCTGGAATCTCTCTCTCTCTCTCTCTCTCTCTCTCTCACACACACACACACACACACACACACACACACACACACACACACACACGAACGATTCATTCCGATTTTGCTAAAAAAGTGGCAGTGTATATTTCCACGTTTCAGCGGAAGATTCCTTCCGTTTTTGCTCATGCTATCGATGGAATGTGTGTGTGTGAGTTATCGTCTCTCTCTCTCTCTCTCTCT